GGGTTGTTCGGATAACTTATTTTTCGGATAACCAATTATGTACGAAAAAATATATTAATTTATCCCGTGTTGAAATTTTTCTCCGTTGCGTGTCGCTTCGCGTTGAATTTTCGTCGATGTTAAGCCTAACGAAGACTATTGTATCGTTAAAAATTATTTTTTTATTTTGTACAAACAAAATAAATATATTGAAAAATATAAAAACAATAAAAAAATTATACTTCAGAAGTTAATTTAGTATCAAAAACGTAAAATATTTGAGTAGCCCAAGACATAGCCAAAGATTACAGCGCCACAGCACTGGCGAAAATTTAAATTTGTCGACTGGAATTCCTTCGGATAACCGACCTTTGGATAAACGACGCTCTACTGTAGTATCAAAATTCACCACTAAGTTACTTTTGGCATTGCAAACAACAAAAAACACTGTTTGTGGGGGACACTTAAAGAAGTGTGGTTTATCAAGGACATGTTGCAAATGTGGCATCTTTGATACACAGTGTCATACTTCATGTGAGAAATATAGATCAGTTATGGTTGGCCATCGAACACATTATTTATCACCTTCATGTTTTGCATGTTAAGTATTAGGGCCACATTCAGCAGTATCTTTTTCATTGCTAAGGTCTTTGTATATCATGAGTCTTTTGAACATTCAGAATTTCTGAAATGTTTAAAACATTATAGAAATGTCACTGTTTCTTTCTAGAACATTCTTACACTCACTATTCTTCATTAATATTTTTGTTTTGTATTNCTAAAACACACACACCAACAAAAAACTATTGGAGTAGCCCAAGACGTAGCCAAAGGTTGCAGCGCCACAGCACTAGTGGAAATTTAAATTTGCCGACTCGAACGCTTTCAGTTGACTGGCTGTCGGATAAACAACACTTTACTGTAATTGTAAAAGCCTTACTGTCCTTTTAAATTCTAATGTTATTGTTAATTGTCTACTTGGACATTACTTATTAAGAGGACTTAATACTGGTGTTTAAAGAATGACACAGCTATGAGAGTTAGTTCAGGAAAGAACAAAATTTCTTTATTATATCACCTGAATTATTATTATACAGAAACTATTACTACAGGTTCTAATTCTTTAAACACCAGTATTAAGTCCTATTAATAAGTAATGTCCAAGTAGACAATTAACAATAACACTCTACTGTATTTCCCTTAGTAGCTGCTATTCAAAAATAAATAAATACACATTTCATTAATTAAAAAAAAAAAACAAAAAAACATGAAAGTGACTTTCATTTCATCTTGAAATACTCACCCAAGATCATTATTTTTTATCAAATGCATCTCTCCACCATATAATCTAGAAAAAAATGGGACCTTGATTCACTTAGTTTGAAAGATAGTCACTCTAAGTGAATCAAGATAGTCAAAGTACAATAGTTTATCTCATTCTGTATATTGAAACTTTTCCAAGAAAGACTCAAATTTTATCATCTTTTCCAGTTTTCATTGTATGAGTAATAATGTTTCAAACATGTATTTAATTATTTTATTTATTCTGATGATAATTTAATTAGGGATGGAGAGTCAGGATCAGGAGTCGATGAGTCAACTATGGGAGTTGAAGTCAATTTTAAAAAATGCCAAATCAGGAGTCATATATTTTTCCATCAACTCCCCATACTTGAATTTAACAGTAAAAATGATCAGTTACCTAACAATTTTAAAACAAATTGAGAACAAATATTAATAACGTATAGTATGCACTGTAGTAATTGTTTAACTAGGTGCTTTTTTAATAATTATCCCATCATAATTTAATTAAGGATAAATGCAGTTGGAGTTAAAGAATACATATAAAAGCTTGTGTTAAATTTTAAAATTTAATAGGAAGTATATTAACTTTGTCAGTTATTTTATCATTTTTATTATAATGCAGAGAAATCAAACAAGGTAATTTAAATTATATTATAACAATAATAATTTCTTTGAATTTGCATTGTGCTTTTTACAGTGCTTTTTCTGCTTCCCTTCATTAAATTAAATATAGATGTTACATGTAGAGAAACATAATTTGGAGGCAAGATTTTAAATTCAGTAGATTGTTAAATTTAACCTAGCCTACAGATGCATTTTCAAAATGAAAATAGGCTGATTGATATTAGTAATTATCCAAATAAAATGTTGTTAAATGTATAGAATTATTTTAAAAACTTTTTTAACAAGATTTAAAAAATTAAAATACTTAACAAAAATGTTATTATAAATAGAGTAATGTTATTAACCTTGAAAACACTTAAGCAAAATGAAATCAGCTTATTTATACAAGAAACCAAAGGAAGTGTAATTTGCTTTCTGGATTTTAGTAATTTCTATATAAATGCTAATCATTTTAAACTTTGTATTATAATACTTTTCATGTTTAATATTTCAGTTTTTCCAATTCAAACACAAATTATTTATCGTATTCATACAGACACTTGGCAAATCACAGAATTAAATTTTATTCAATTTTAGTTTTTGTAAGTTCAGAGCAATAACTTTAGCTTTTACAAGTGTTTAATAAAACAATTTTCAACTTGCTTAATAGTTGTTTGGGTTTTAAGTAGCTGTTCAAAAGTAGAATATTTGAATTCCGGTAAAGTTTGAAGAGTTTGAACAAAAATAAAATTCAGATTTAATTACAGTTATATGAAAAGTGATAATATAATATATGTGTAAAAGTAAACTAATTAACAAAAATAATGTAAAACATATACAAGTTTTAACATGTAAGTTTTAGTTTATCACTGGTTTTAATGAAAATTTTCAAGCCATAATTTTTCAATATTTTTTAGAATTAATACATACATTCTGTAATTTATTTTTTAATTAATTTACTGTGTTACTCTCTATAATTTTAGCTTTAATTATAGAGTTAAGGTTTCTATATAAGATAGAGAAATTGCTTATAGAAAATACTTTGAAATATTCAAGCATAAATTAAATTGTATGTAACATTAATTTATTGCTTAGTTTTTATATTATACATGGATGATTGTATTAAATTCTATTGTCTGGGTAGAGATGAGTAAACCTTGTTAATTATATTCATCTTTGTTATGATATAAAGTGTTATTTAGTTTTATAATATTTTCTTGTAAATTTGTTAAATTCAAGAACATTTGAAAGTTTAATGTAATTACACATGTTTTATTTATGTTTATCCTATAATAATAATGTAAAATTACACTATTTCACTTTTTTACAGAGTATGCATTTATATTTATTAAATTTTAAAATGTTACATTAATTTTCCAAAAGTAAAATGTTTAAAAATTTAAAGTTATTTGTAAATTTGAATATTGATTATTGTTTGTTAAATGCAATTGTTTCAGTTTTGTTATGTTGCAATGATTATTTTAATGTTTAAGATTATATTGGATTGAAGCCAGAGGTTAATTCAAAAATATTTATTCAGTAAAGTTATAATTTTATTTTGGATTTTGTTCTAAAGAATTCAGATCAAACTTCTTGTTATTAAGTTATAAACAAATCAAATAATTGAAAAAAGATGAACTTTAAATATATGAAATAAAATTTATTTTTAGATAATAGGAAATTGTTGGGTGAACTTGATGGAATTGATGTTTTACTCCAGCAACTTGCTGTAAGTTTTCATTAATTATGTTTCAAAAAATTGAATCTTATAATACTTGTATAAATCTTTATTGTCACTTTGTATATTAGAAAATTTAGCCATTGTTAAATGTAGAATATTATGATACTAATATTACATTTTCCTGAAATATTTATTCACATATTTATGTATCATTATACAGGGTGAGGCAATAACTATTTCTACCTTGAATAATACTTATAGTAAGTGAACTATCAAGGTCCTGTTTCTTAGAGGTTGTATGGTGGCAAAGATGATGCAATTGGATAAAGAGTAATTTAACCTTGAGTGAACACATTAAGGTGAAATTAAGGTCACTTTTGTTTTTTAAATAAAATGTGTACAGCTATTTACATTTTGATAGCAGTTACTAAGAATAATACAACAATCTATGGCATAAGGAAATTTAAAGACATTTAAAGCTCACTTTTAACAAAAATACAAACTTTGGAACATTGAAGCATGCTGTAATAATTTATGTTCAAAGATAAACCCTAAACTTCAATGACTTTGAATGCCCTCATTGTGATAGATCATTGTACAGTAGAGCGTCGTTTATCCGAATCAATTGATGACTAGGGTTGTTCGGATAACTTATTTTTCAGATAGCCAATTATGTACAAAAAAATATATTAACCTATCCCATGTTGAAATTTTTCTCCGTTTACGTTGAATTTTGTCAATGTTAAGCCTAATGAAAATTTTTATAATAATAATCGTGGCTATTGTATCATTAAAAATTATTTCTTTATTTTGTACAAACANTATAGGAGTTATTTTACTGTTGTGTACAGATACTGCCACAATTTTTTTGCCGTCTTATAGGAATCGTAATTATAGGAACCAGTCTTATAGGGGGATCTACTGTATAAACAAACACTAATTTGATAACATTAAATCTAAATACCAAAATGATTAATTTACTGTGTTTTTGTTATTTCTTACTCCTGTTTTTAGGTATTCGATATTCGGCCGAATAGTGATTAAATATTTGGTATTTGGCCGAATAGCGAAAAATAGGCCGAATACCGAATAGTAACCGAATATTCGTTACATCACTAGTTTTGATATAATTATCATTAATTTTCATAAAATTGATTTTTTTTTAATTTAAAAATTTTTTGCCATTTAAGTAAATTTGTATAAATGGAGACTTTTTATGATTATTAGGAGACTGTAAATAGAGTGATTACTGTATTTATTACAATAATAAATATTATAATATAAAACAGATAAAAATGTTATAATTTTTACTGTCTGTCTATCTATCAGTATTTCAAACGTCACGATCCATCAAATTCAGAAGAATACGAAATGATGGAGAATCTCTTTGATTCTCTTTGTTCATCTTTAATGTATGTTCCTAATAGAGAAAAATTTTTAAAAGGAGAAGGTTTGCAATTGATGAATCTGATGCTGAGGTAAATTATGAATTTTTAAAATTTTTTTTATATGAAATAATTTGTTAAAAATGTCCTTCTATTAATTGAAATGAATGACATTTAAATTTTTCTTATAAAAGTATTTTTTATGATCACTTTTTAATCATTAGAATCTTTTCAAAAATTATTAGTTTATTATTAATATTAGTACTATTAATTAATTAATACAGATATATGCCAGTGACTGTGGTTCCATAAGATTATAATGGAGATGAAAAATTCCTATCTGTACATTTTATATATTTATATACATAAATGCTATTGTATGACTTATAGCCTATGTGAGTAAAAGACTACATATAGGTTTGTCTAAATACCCTCTATGGTGTTTAATGATTATTCCTTTTGTGCATACCTGTCTTCACATAATCTTTAATATGAATATAGATAAACTCAAACTTTGATATATAAATACATAAAATATAATTAAACATTAATTAACCATAGATATAAGTAAATCTCTCTATAAATCCATGCAGTCTTATTCCTTAAAGTTTCTACTGTTAAGTAATACTGTATTTTCTACTGTTGTCTTTGTTTTAATTATTCTTTTGTCAATATTTATTGTTATCCTATTTAGATATGTCTTCTATTATATATATATATATATGGGGTGTCAAGAAAGTAAAGAACATTTGGCTATAAGAAAAGAAAAAGGATGTAATGATAGGAAAAAGTTTTATTAAGTAATCAGTACAAGACCTGTTATTTTTCTACATAGTCACCATTATGATTTAAGCACTTTAGTGTGACAAGTGCTTAAATTGTAATTTTTTGGATTTTTTTGTCATTGACTTCCACCACTAATTCTTTCAGCCAGTTAGTGATTTTTTTTTACCTCATCAATCCATTCCAAATTGTTTTGTACCCATAAACTCTTTCAACTTGGGAAAGAGGCCTTACAAATTTCGTTGTCAATTTTTTTGTTTCAGTTCTTTGGTCATAAGAGATGGTCGTCCAGAACAGTCTTCATCATGAAGTTTAGATTTCTCTTGATTAAACATTAAACACTATTTTCTCACACTTGCTTCATTCATAATGTGATCATCATACATTTCTATGGTTTGCTTATGAATTTCTATAGGACAAACTTTCTTTGTGTTTAGGAAATGAATAACACTTTGCATTTGGTAGGATTTTCAATTTTTGTAAAATTTTCTAAAATAAAATTTTCAGAAATATTTATTTAAATGAATCATATTAAATTTCAAAATTTAGTGCTTAGTTGTAACACATAATATGACATACAGGGTCTTCCAAAAAGAATGCTACCATTTTAAATTATTGTAATTATGATGATTATTATTTGAGAACATTATTACATTAAGACATTGGAAAACTATGCAAGTTTCACATTTGTCCATTACAATTTTTCACTTTGTGCAACAAATAGCACACATCCAATCAACATTTAATTTCTTCCTCCATTTGCTACAGCATATGTCATCACTCCCCCCACAGCATCCACAATTATATTGCTTTTGCATACTACTCATGTTACAGTGATTTCAACTTTTAGAACTGCAGAACATATCAATAGAATGCCTTCTCTATTGTGGAATCACTACTTTCATTTACAGCATTTCTTAGAGGTAGTAGATGAAAAGACATTTGAATGCAATTGCGAGATGAAACTTGGATAGTTACTCTGTTGATTGGTGTACATCGCATACTTCTCGTATAATAATTAACATAATCACAGCAATTTAAAATGGTAACATTCATTTTGAAAGAGCCTCTATTTTATAGCTAACTTATTATTTAAACTTCATTTATAATAAATTAGCAATTTGATCATAATGCAGAGCAAATAAACAATTATGTCAATTAATAAAATGTAATGATGCATTTGATGTAATGATATAATGATGCATTAAAAAGTGTAATCATTTAAAAGTCTTATACACTTTAAATTTAAACTAAAGAGAATTTTAATGCTTGCCATTACAATTTTACCAAGGAAATTTTGATATTATTTTAAAATGTTTAATATTATTTAAAGGGAGAAACGACAATCAAGAAATGGTGCTCTTAAAGTCTTAGATCATGCAATGTGCAATCCAGAAGGAAGTGATAATTGCAATAAATTTGTTGACATTCTTGGTTTAAGAACAATTTTTCCATTGTTTATGAAAACGCCAAAGAAAAATAGAAAAAAAGGATTAAATTTAGAAGAGCATGAAGGTATGTTATTAAAAAATAAACTAATTTAAAATTATACTGAAATTATGATAAAGTAAATTTGTATTTTGTAAAAAAGTATATTTACTGTATATTGACAGTCTGTATGAAGAGATTTTATACATAATTGCAATCATTGTGAAGTAAGCTGTAGAATTTTTAATGTAGAAAATAAATGTAGTGTTTAATTCCATTTTTATTAATTAATACAATTCTCCCAATTCTTAATTAATTGAGAAATATAAATATTTTATATACAGTTATCTAATCAATCTGTTATCATAATAGCATTCATATTCATACTCATTAGTTTGTGTTTCTGAAAAATTTATGAGAAATAGTAATTTTTTAAAATAAATTAATAAAAATGTAAAATGCACAACAAAATATTAATCAAGTAATAAATAATATTTTTAAATTAAAATATATTAAATTACAAATTTATTACAAACTTTTAAAATACAATTTAAATTAAAGTTACTAGGATAAATTAATTAAATTCTTTATTTTATATCTGTTATTACCATAGAAAAATCATATCAGAATAATTTTTTTTCTTTCACTTTAAGAGCATGTTTGTTCCATTATTGCTTCAATGTTAAAGAATTGCAAAGGAACTCAACGTCAAAGATTACTTAACAAGTTTACAGAAAATGATCATGAAAAGGTACTTTTGTTATTTTATTTTTTATAGTTTTTGCACTTTTATCATACAGGGTGTCTGAAAAGTTAGTGTGCAGTGAGAAATTTGTAATGATGTTAACTTTTTAAACACAAAATCAGCCAGAATTGGCTTAATTTGTTTGAGACAAAACTGACTGATGGAAAAATTGTTTAACTGGTTCTGCTATACAAATTGCCTTTGTAGCCTGAGGGTTTGTAGCCTATATAAAAACAATTTCATCTCCTGGTATATAGAAAGAAGAAATTTTTAGAGTTTAGAATCAAAGTTTTGCATATAATATTGCATAGACTATAAATTGCATGTTCTGCATTTCCACTTTGCAATAGATAGTGTTACTGCTTGCTCACAGATATTCAGGTTCTCGGTTTACAGTTTTTGAAAGACTTCTTTGCTGATCACATAATCTCATTTAAGATTCTTTGGCCTATTAGCTCTCCAGGTATCACTCCCCTGGATTTGGGAACTATTGGGAACATTTTCATCAGTTGCTGAAGGGAAAACTGCAATATCATATGTAAAAGCTTCAGTTTTATTAAAAGTTTAACCTTTTACACTGCAAAGTAACTTTTCAGACACCTTGTATTAATATAATGTAAAAACATAGCTAAAATTGAATTTAATCCAGTTATTCATACAGTTAAACATGTATCAAAATAGATGTTATATATCTGTGAATCAGTATTATAATAATTATTTCTCTTGTTTGCAGATTGATCGTTTAATGGAATTACATTTTAAATATTTGGAGAAAGTACATCATGTTGACAATCAAATTGAGAAAGAGAAAGCAGTTAGTATTTAGGAAATTAATTATACTTTTTTATCTAAAATTAACTGATATTAAATACATTTTTGAATTTGTATTTTTTAATATCAGGAATATCGTTATAATGACGAGGAAGTCAATTCTATGATGGAAGATGAATTCTACTTAAGAAGATTAGAAGGTGGTCTGTTTACTTTACAGTTAATTGATTACATTATGCTAGATACATGCAGCTCTGGACCCTCTTCGGTAAGTGGAAAATAGAAAGAAAATGCTGAAATATTTACATTATATTTTAAGCTTACAACATTTATGAAATTTAGATAAAACAGAGAGTTCTTCAAATTCTTAATTTGCGTGGTGGATCTATAAAAACAATTCGTAATGTCATGAGAGGTATGTAAGAATTTATATAAATTATCTAAAATATTTTTTGATGTATTTTTTTTATGAATTTAATTTTCAGATTTAAGAATTAACACATTAATAGTAACTTTTTATTTATATTCTAGAATATGCTGGCAATTTGGGTGATGCGAAAGATTCAGCTGCAAGAGAAGCAGAGCAGCAGCGCATTTTGCAATTAGTGGATCGTTTCTAATTGTTTAAAGACATTTTTTAATCAATCACCTTACACCATTTCATTCTTCACTCTGTCCATTTGTAATTTATTCATTTGGAATAATCATCAACATATTTTATTAATAAAATGCATTCTTATTCTTGATATTAAACTCATTATTTAGTAGGAAGATGGTGGGAAAATATGTAGCTTATATTATGTTTTTTTATAATAGTTATTTATTCTACAATTAACGTATATTGAAGAATTTTTTAAGAGAATTTTCAATGATGATTTTCAAATTTGGGTCACATTTATTATTACAGAATTTAAAGTAATTCTAACTAGCTTAGAATACAAAGCTTAAAAATAGGCTGTGTGATATTCTGAATATTAAAAGAGAGCAAAAAAAAGAGAATAAGTATATGTTGTTGAATAATTTTTATATATAAATTATAAATCTTGTTGTTAAACTCTATTCATTGAAATAAAGATTTGTGGTTTATATGTAAAAGTATTGATATTTACATGTATAGCCATTAATAGCTCACAGTATGCAGCAGGCTTAGTCAACTTGTGGTATATGATCAACTTTTTCTCATGAAAGTTGATCATTTCCCACCAAAGTACTGATGATTTACTGCCACATTTTTATTCTTTTATAAAAGTGTACTGTATTAACCTGTTTTTATGAAATTATGCATCAAAATATAATTGTTTATTAATGCATAATAATTGATGTTTTAGGTTATTTTGTTTTGGTAAAGACACTGAAGTTGGATTTAAGTTCTTGCATGCTAGATGCAACTTAAAGCATATTCAACTTAACTTAGAATTCAACTTAAGGCATAAACTAAACAACAGCATTTGTCATTCATCATAACAAAAAATTATTTTATTATCCATTTTATTCATTCCTCTCACACTTAATAAGTTTTGCTTCTCTATCAGCACACTCATTTTGCATATAACTGAAACTGTTTAGAGTGCAACAAAGCAATTTCTGAGATAATATAGAGACTAGACATAAAGTACACACTCCATTATCTTCACTGCATTCAATTTAGTATCTGCATGTTTTTTTCACTGATACACAAAGACTCANTTATAAAAGTTTACAATATTTTGTATTATATTTTATTTAAAAAACGAAAATTACCTTCTAAGATATAAGTTTGATCTAAGTTCAATTTTTAATTTTTAACTCACAGTCAGTTCGAAGCATTTTTGTTGTTGTATGCAGTTACTAGCAAACTTTAATAAATTTTTTTCTATTTGTGAAAATTTCTACGTAATTCAAATGTAATTTTTTTATTATATATCTTACACAGCATTATTAATATGATTTTGGATGATACAGAACTTTAAAATTACTTTAAAAAAATGAAAAATAATTATATAATTTAATTTCAAGATATTTTGTATACCTTAAAAATAATTAATTCTATCCCGGGATTTCCCTGGATCCCGGGAAACAGTTCACTTTTATCCCGGAATCCCGGGACAAGCAAAACACCGGGAAATGAGAAACCCTAGTTCGTACCCAGCTGAGGGTGCACCAGTGGCCAAGCGGTTCAGTTCCCTGAACACTGAGAGTTCGGTCGTGGGTTCGCGCCTCTCCAGGACGGGTTGGCCACGTGGAGTTTTCTAGGTTTTCTCCACGTCTGTAACGCCTGAATAGGGGCCAGTTACCGGAAGGGGAAGGCATCCCCTAGGCAGATCGCCCAAATGTTGCATTGACGTAACTTAATATATGAACAAACGTACCCAGCTGGGCGCAGGTTTTCTTCACTGCTTCTTTANGTGTGCAGTGAGAAATTTGTAATGATGTTAACTTTTTAAACACAAAATCAGCCAGAATTGGCTTAATTTGTTTGAGACAAAACTGACTGATGGAAAAATTGTTTAACTGGTTCTGCTATACAAATTGCCTTTGTAGCCTGAGGGTTTGTAGCCTATATAAAAACAATTTCATCTCCTGGTATATAGAAAGAAGAAATTTTTAGAGTTTAGAATCAAAGTTTTGCATATAATATTGCATAGACTATAAATTGCATGTTCTGCATTTCCACTTTGCAATAGATAGTGTTACTGCTTGCTCACAGATATTCAGGTTCTCGGTTTACAGTTTTTGAAAGACTTCTTTGCTGATCACATAATCTCATTTAAGATTCTTTGGCCTATTAGCTCTCCAGGTATCACTCCCCTGGATTTGGGAACTATTGGGAACATTTTCATCAGTTGCTGAAGGGAAAACTGCAATATCATATGTAAAAGCTTCAGTTTTATTAAAAGTTTAACCTTTTACACTGCAAAGTAACTTTTCAGACACCTTGTATTAATATAATGTAAAAACATAGCTAAAATTGAATTTAATCCAGTTATTCATACAGTTAAACATGTATCAAAATAGATGTTATATATCTGTGAATCAGTATTATAATAATTATTTCTCTTGTTTGCAGATTGATCGTTTAATGGAATTACATTTTAAATATTTGGAGAAAGTACATCATGTTGACAATCAAATTGAGAAAGAGAAAGCAGTTAGTATTTAGGAAATTAATTATACTTTTTTATCTAAAATTAACTGATATTAAATACATTTTTGAATTTGTATTTTTTAATATCAGGAATATCGTTATAATGACGAGGAAGTCAATTCTATGATGGAAGATGAATTCTACTTAAGAAGATTAGAAGGTGGTCTGTTTACTTTACAGTTAATTGATTACATTATGCTAGATACATGCAGCTCTGGACCCTCTTCGGTAAGTGGAAAATAGAAAGAAAATGCTGAAATATTTACATTATATTTTAAGCTTACAACATTTATGAAATTTAGATAAAACAGAGAGTTCTTCAAATTCTTAATTTGCGTGGTGGATCTATAAAAACAATTCGTAATGTCATGAGAGGTATGTAAGAATTTATATAAATTATCTAAAATATTTTTTTGATGTATTTTTTTTATGAATTTAATTTTCAGATTTAAGAATTAAGACATTAATAGTAACTTTTTATTTATATTCTAGAATATGCTGGCAATTTGGGTGATGCGAAAGATTCAGCTGCAAGAGAAGCAGAGCAGCAGCGCATTTTGCAATTAGTGGATCGTTTCTAATTGTTTAAAGACATTTTTTAATCAATCACCTTACACCATTTCATTCTTCACTCTGTCCATTTGTAATTTATTCATTTGGAATAATCATCAACATATTTTATTAATAAAATGCATTCTTATTCTTGATATTAAACTCATTATTTAGTAGGAAGATGGTGGAAAAATATGTAGCTTATATTATGTTTTTTTATAATAGTTATTTATTCTACAATTAACGTATATTGAAGAATTTTTTAAGAGAATTTTCAATGATGATTTTCAAATTTGGGTCACATTTATTATTACAGAATTTAAAGTAATTCTAACTAGCTTAGAATACAAAGCTTAAAAATAGGCTGTGTGATATTCTGAATATTAAAAGAGAGCAAAAAAAAGAGAATAAGTATATGTTGTTGAATAATTTTTATATATAAATTATAAATCTTGTTGTTAAACTCTATTCATTGAAATAAAGATTTGTGGTTTATATGTAAAAGTATTGATATTTACATGTATAGCCATTAATAGCTCACAGTATGCAGCAGGCTTAGTCAACTTGTGGTATATGATCAACTTTTTCTCATGAAAGTTGATCATTTCCCACCAAAGTACTGATGATTTACTGCCACATTTTTATTCTTTTATAAAAGTGTACTGTATTAACCTGTTTTTATGAAATTATGCATCAAAATATAATTGTTTATTAATGCATAATAATTGATGTTTTAGGTTATTTTGTTTTGGTAAAGACACTGAAGTTGGATTTAAGTTCTTGCATGCTAGATGCAACTTAAAGCATATTCAACTTAACTTAGAATTCAACTTAAGGCATAAACTAAACAACAGCATTTGTCATTCATCATAACAAAAAATTATTTTATTATCCATTTTATTCATTCCTCTCACACTTAATAAGTTTTGCTTCTCTATCAGCACACTCATTTTGCATATAACTGAAACTGTTTAGAGTGCAACAAAGCAATTTCTGAGATAATATAGAGACTAGACATAAAGTACACACTCCATTATCTTCACTGCATTCAATTTAGTATCTGCATGTTTTTTTCACTGATACACAAAGACTCATTATCTCATATGGTTCAACACTAATAGTTGAGATTTTATAGTGGAATTATGGAATAATTACAAATTTTCTTTTATTTTAATAGGCCACAATATTCACATTCGACAAAAAAGTTGATGATGCGATCGTTTTGTTGGTCATCTCTGGTATAAAATATTGATTTAGAAAAACTTGACACTGAGAATATACGAATTATAACTATAAACAGAATCAGAATTAACTAGAAAAGCATTCAATATCAAATATTGTAAGAATTAAATTCTCAGATACTTAAAATATAATTTTTTTTCTCGATCAATGATATTGATTGGAAGTAATATTGTTCTTACGATTATACGTAGGCTGTTTTTTTTTCAAGCTCCAATGGTTCATAAAAAAAAGACAAGTGTAAATAACAAAATTAATTTATTACCAAAGTTAGGTACAAACATGGTTACTTTTCGACATAATCATCATGAAGATTGAGCCATTTATCATATCTGTGGACGAGCTTTTCCATCCCCTTTTCATAGAATGTTGCCGCCAATAACTTGAGATGAGATTTTTTTGAACGTTTTTTTGAAGATCGTCATTAGTCTCGAACCTCTGCCTTCCTAGCCACTTTTCCTGTTCTGGAAAGAGGTAGAAGTCGCTCGGCGCTAAATCGGGGTTATATGCTGCGTATTTAAAGGTGGTGAAGACTTCCACCTTTTTCCTGAACTGAAAAAATGGCTAGGAGGGCAGAGGTTTGAGACTAATGAACTAATGACGATCTTCAAAACAACGTTGTTAAGGCCATCTCAATTCACTGGTGGCAACATTCTATGACAAGGGGATGGAAAAGCTCGTGTACAGTTATGACAAATTCCCCAATCTTCACGATGATTGTCTAAAAGTAACTATGTTTATACCTAACTTTTGGTAATAAATTCATTTTGTTATTTACACTTGTCTTTGTTTTATGGGCCATCAGAGCTTGAAAAAAAAAAAACAGTCATTTAATTATAAATTAAAGATGTTTACAGATTTTATTTTTATTATTAAAACTCTTTTGAACTAATCAATTGAAAGAAAACAAGACAAACCAAATATTTTAAATGTCATATGTGAAATTAGCTGTGGGTGGAAAGGAACATATCAAAAATAAACATAATTAATGTTTCATGAACTTAATTTTCTTGATCAGTGGAAAATAAATTAGTTATTTCTTTAAAATGAATCGAGTAATTTTAATTCAATAAACATTTTTATATATCAGTTTGTTCCATGAAAGCTATATTTATTAATTTTTTTAATATAAATAAAAGACTTTGTTACTTGATTCTGTTACAAATTTAGAAAATGAATTTACTTAAAAAATACTTTACATTCCAATACGAGTGTAACTTAATGAGGAGCAAGAATTCATACATTTAATGATAATTAATTGACATTAAGACGACAAATCAATCCTTATTACAATATAATTCATACTTAGATTAACATTTTGACCGTCAACTTGATAGTTTTTAGTTAACTGACTTGAGTTACACTTCAGATTCGAATCATAATCCTCAAGGAAACAGTACTGAACTGTAAGGGCCAAATTTAAAATTTATATTCCTCGTATAAAATCTGTTGCTAAATTTTCCTTATTGTTTTCATAAGATAACTTTTATCACTGCTAAGGCTGGGAATATACACCATTTTGAAGTGATTATTATATCGTTGCGTGACAATTATAAGGCAACCGTCACGTACGGAAAAGCGAAGTCAGTATTTACAATACTGTATTTGTTTAATGTGTAAAGAAAAAAAAACTTCAATTTTTAACGACAGCTTACCTTTTATAATATATTGACGTCAGTGTCTGTTAATTAAAATTGCATGCAGTAACAAAATGGATGGTCGTCGTCCTTATTCTATTTTTCATTAGGTATTACGAAGCTTTGTATAAACAATAACTTCGTTTATCAATTATTCATGAGGGACACTGAATAATAAATTGAATAATCATCAAATTAACACTTATATGTACTGGTATACCACTGTTGTTCGTTATACGTGATATTTCTGTTTAATTCCGCTTCATTAAGGAAAGTATTTTGATTATTTTATACATTTCTAATTATATAATGAAATTTTTCGTTTATTTAATGATAAATATAATTAAATTTGATTTTTGAAATTGGCATATAGCTAGGAATAGGACTTAGATCTAGGAAAACTAGGCAACTGTCTAGACTTTGACTCGTTTCCCTAGAAAATTGCCTAGATCAGGTCTCGGTTCTCTAGACAGAGGTATGAGCTATTTCATAGAATCCGAGCCCTTCAAAAGAAAATAGACTCGATGATCAGAAATTTCAATAATAATCACATATTTAGAGTGATATTATTTAAACATAGTTTAAATCTGATCGGAACTTAATGATTTTTCTCTTGTAGTTTGAGGAGACACTCTTCATCCCTCATGGCTGATTACCTAACTCATTCTGGATCAAAGTAGCACTCAATTGCACTGAGAATCAAAGCAAAAATATTTATCAAATTAATATTATCATCATTTATTTAGGAGTCAGATAATGACTTCTAAAGAGCTGACTCCTGAAAGAGCGTGGCTACGGACTGAATTGGCAACGGATCCCAAATGCCTTGCCCTGCGCATCTGCCTGCCGATCTGTGTCTTAGAAGATTCACTTGAGTTTTCCGTCAATTCCTTTTGGTTTCAAAGTATTGTACTTTTGTCTACGGTCCAAGACCTAAGAAATTTAATAAATTAGGAACTTCTGAAGAAGTTGGTTTGGTTGAATAAGGCAAAGCAATACGTGGGTGATCTGCAGATGAGGTGCCACGCACGACAGCTTTCTATGAGAAATTGGCCCCTATTTAAGGGTTAGATACGCGAAGAAAATCCGGAAAACTTCACGTAGCCAACCCGTTTGTGAGGCACGAACTTACGACCAATTCTACCAGTGTTTAGAGATTTTATTCACATGGCCATTGGTGGGCACCTCTGAAGAGGAAGTTCAAAAATGATTAAAATGTAGTTATAGACTCAAATTGATGGAATAATTTTGCAAATAAACGATTTGAAGCATATATTTTATTATATTTTTGGAATTATACAGTATTTTAAAAGGTCTAGTGTAAAATGAATTATATAAGATGTTAGGATTGACTTTCTGAATATACAAAAGAGGATTTTCAATGGCAGACGATGGAAAAAATAGTAAGTCGTCATAAAAATATTTGATGATAAATTTCTTTCGTAATCTGATTAAGATCACTCAAGTGGGCAATTCAGTATTACGTGAGTTGCCTAGGGGCCAAAGAAGGTTGGTAAATATTAGATTAATGACTCGAGTGTATCTGATGACCGACAAATTTAATTATCTTTCGAGATGAGTACGCATTTGTTTAATCGAATTAAAACTATTCTTTGTATATTTTGTCGAATCGTTCGATAAGATAACACTGAAAATTCTTCAATAACTCGATAATTTCATCTTTGCAACGCATTGTAAGTGGAATTTAAAAGAAATGAATAGTCAAAAAGTGAAAAAATGAAAATATTTAAATTGGAATTTAATTTTCACTCTGAAAACTGTAATGCAAATTAGAAAATTTTATGAACAATGACACCTTTAATGAAACTTAGGTTTACACGGAGAAAAATCTCTGTGAGCACTAAAAAAAGAGTCCTTTATCCATGGGGAAAACTATAAAATTTTAAATTTTGGGATGCGCCAAAGGGGGAAAAGAATGAAAATAGCTCTATTATTCCTTCTCTCTTCTGGGTGCCCTGTTAATCAGTCCATCGTGGGTTCGGCCAGGCCCAAAGTGGAAACAACTGGATCTTCCATATCCAGTTCAAAACGCTCCCAAAAAATTCCTGGGATTTTTCGACTGTTTGGACTCGATTTCGGATCCCCGAGATCGCCATGATGACTTTAACCGCTTGGGTCATCCCTGTATTATAAATTATGTACTTATACTGTGGTAAATTTATAAAATATTTATGTTACGTAGGCATATTTAGTTGAATATGGTTAATTAATTAATGCAATTAGCTTACATTTGATTAATGTTAATTTACTAGGAGGCT